ATCAGCCTTCCTGGGGTCAGTGTCCTAAATGTCTACTTTGCAGTTGAGATCCCTGGACACTGGAGTGATATGAAGCAGCAGCGTGTCTGTCTGGTTGAGCTACAGCCTGGCCAACCAGAATACAGCAAAGTGGCAGATGCCTTCAATCAGACCTGCTCACAATTCAAGATAGAGAAGGTAAGCATTCTGATGACATGGAGTTTGTTAATGGTGAAAGTAAGGAGTATCATGTTCCTGGATAAATACATTTATATTTATTTCCTATCATATTTTTAACCCAGAATTAGAATATTTCATGGTAATTAGATTTTAGACTCTAGATTTTCCTCATCTCCCCATAATTCCTGAGACATTAAGACTGAGATTTTTGAGTCAGTTATTACAAGACAGTAGATTACAATATGATATTAGAATACTAAAAAGATATATTTCCTTTGTGAAGCAAACTAATAAAGATTCAAAGATATGAGAAGAGACTGGCAAAAGCTCCTCAGGGTTGGGTTATGTGTCTTTGCCCCACTGTTCACAGGCCAACAGTGCTCGCTTCCTTAGTAAACCCACTAGTACTTTCACGGTTCATCTCATTTACTAGTATTTTGGTATCTCCTACTCATAAAAATTAATATTGCTATTTGAAATTTGTGTTCTTTCTTGCCTTCTAAGGCAATAATACTTTGATGTTTTCTTCTTTATTAATTAATTCTCCTTTCATTATCACTGGTATCTGTTTCTCCTCCAAAGCCCTCATCCTAGCTTTATCCACAGGGTTTATAATTTGGTCTTCTGTCTCTGCACTTCACCAGGAAATATTTTTACCTTTCATGGATGCGGCTATCATTTTAATATTAATAGCTCTCAAATCAACATATCACCAACCTGGATCTTTGACTCTAGCTCTAGAACATATTCCCAGTGGACTAAAAATATCTCCACTTGATTATCTATCTGCTAAATCAGTTTCCTAAAACTTAACTCATCATCTCTAAGTAAAATGGTCTATCACTGCCCAGCTCCGATGCTGAATGGCACAGGGCAGAAATACCTCCTCATCTATCTCACATCTTCCCCGTTGGTCCTGTTTCCTTCTTGGCCCCAAAGGGAGTTTCAATTTGGAGTATCTACTCCAGAAGTCCAATGCGCAGCAGCCAGTCCTGCTTTGCACTTCCGCCTCCTCCCTGCTTTTGCACAAGGGCACCAAATCACCTCAAATATCCCCTGTGAAGATTTATTAGTACTCTCAGAGGTGAGGACTGGCCGGCTCGGTGATTATCTTGCTAGGTTGGTGCTTAAACTACAATGGAAAGAAACATGTCTCACATCTATAGAGCTAATGGGATAAAACAAATTCACTTAATCATTTATTGATTTCTTTATTCAATTGCTGTCACCGAGTGCGTCTTAAATGCAAGGAACTGTTAGGTGCCCAGGAAAATAGAAATGGGCACTGCATCATTGAAGTCAGTTGTTTTCTAGTAAAGAACCCATTGAGTTGTGTGAAGGAGAATAGTAGGCAAGAAAGACCTCAAAGACCCTTTGTAGCTGAGCCATGCTCATGCAGGGCAGGTGTGGTGGCTTTGCCCCTAGAGTAAGGGTACAAGTAGACACTTACCAGCCACAGGGCAGGGCAGTATTGACACTGGTAGGAGGGGTGAGGTACAGAATGGGCTGGTCTGACACCCACATTTGGTATGTTTTTAAACCGGAGTCCAATATCAAGCCTCAAGCCCTGGGTTGCAGTGCTGGGAAGAGAACTCCCCATGACCTCTATCCGGCTGTAAAAACCAGTGGGGATTGTGCCTGAGTGACATGGAGGCTGCTGGAATCCCAGGCAATTCTTCTTAAACGGCCCATGCATGGACTTAGTCTCATTCCCTCTGAGCTCCAGCGCTGGGGCAACAGCGTGAAAGGATACAGGGCCATATGGGGACATAAATTGGCAGCAGGGCAAGCCATCTTCCCCCTTCTTTTGGTTATTGTTGGCATCTCTAACCCTTTTCCTTTTCAACTTCCTGTAACTGTGTAATTAAGATAATAGCATATACTGTACTTGAGTTTTGTTTTTTATTCATCCATTTGGACCATCTTTACTTTTTTTAAAATATGTTTTTGATGATTTCAGAGAGAAAAAGGGAGAGGGAGGGAGGGATAGAGACATCAATGATAAGAGAGAATCCTTGATTGGCTGCCTCCTACACATTCCCTATTGGGGATAGAGCCTGCAGCCTAGGCATGTGCCCTTAGCAGGATCAAACCTCAATCTTCTGGTTCATGGTTGGATGCTCAATCACTGAGCCCCCCTGGCTGGGTCAATCTTTATCTTTTAGTTGCAGTACTTATTCTGTTTAATGAATTTACTGATATGTTTGTGTTTAAATATGCCATATTAATCTTCCACTGAGCCAAACTGATTAGGGCTAATCTTTTTTTCTATGTATCATTTCTACTCTGCTCCTTTTCTCTCTTTTTCTATGTTATTTTATATTAAGTTATTTTTATCATTCCATTTTTATCCCCTATTAGAATGCTCATTATACATCCTATTGCAAACCTTTCATTGGTTACTTAGAGATTATTAAACTCTAGTGCAAATTAGTATAGTTCTCATTTCCCAAACAATGCAATGAACTTTGGACACTTTAAACCCACTTGTCCCCTCCTGCCTCTTGTACTACTTTTACCTGTATTTTAATTCTATGTATGTTTGAAACCCTATAAAACATTTTAATTTTTTAATACAGTCATTGTATATTTACCCTTTTAGCCCACTGCCCTTCCATTCTTCTTGCATTTTCATGCCTACACCTTTGGGATCATTCTCCTTCTGGTTTTACTTTTCTTTCGGGTGTAGATCTGGTTGTGATGTTTCTGGTAGTTTAAGTTTTTGTCTGAAAATGTCTTCATTTCACTTTCATTCTTTGAAGGATATTTTTGCTGGGTGTAGAGTTCTGGGTGACAGTTATTTTCTTTAAGCATTTTGAAGGTGTTATTCTATTATCTTCTGATTTTTTCTTTCATTTTGCACTGCCCTTCTATCTTGGAACTTGGCCCATCAAATCCTTGTTGCCTTCAAAAAGCTCTCCCCCTTGCCCTCACCCTCAAGCCCTTCTAATAGTTTCTGGCAAGAGGATTGGTCTGATACAAATAGTGTACTACACCAGAAGCCTACTGCTAACATAAACCTACTAAGTAAAGTTTTAAGATTTACTTGCAGTGTTTCTTTTTAACTTTATAATTTATCCCATTAGGAATATAGAATCAGATTTCTGTCTTGAAAACTACTTGAAGTAATTCTTTTCTTTGTGTGGTTATTAAATTTGAGAAGGTTGGGTGCTAGCTTCAGCAGCACATATACTAAAAAAAAAGGTGAGGAACAAGAATGAAAAGACTAAGAAGTAAGAATTATTTAAAAACTCTTTAAGATGCCGAAACCAGTTTGGCTCAGTGGATAGAACGTCGGCTTGCGGACTGAAGGGTCCCAGGTTCGATTCTGGTCGAGGGCATGTACCTGGGTTGCGGGCACATCCCCAGTGGGAGATGTGCAGGAGACAGCGGATCAATGTTTCTCTCTCATCGATGTTTCTAACTTTCTATATCTCTCAATTCCTCTCTGTAAAAAATCAATAAAATTTAAGAAAAAAAAACACACAAAGAAAAAACTCTTTAAGATAAAATTGTTAAGGCTTTTAGGAGATGAGTAAAAGAAATAAAATTTAAGGTAAATAGAAATGGAATAGAAGTAGGCAGTTTAAAGATTAGAAAATTATAGATAAAAAGAAAAATAAATTTTAAAATCACAAATCAGATAAACAAAATGCATGATAATGCAGAGACTTTGAGCTAGAGGTCAAGCTATATCTTAATTAAAAATAGGAATCCCAAAACTGAAAAATCAAACAAACCAGATGATGGTAGGTAACAGTATTAGAACTGAGAGTCCTTTAGAATGGAAGAAGATTCTGACAACTTTATGGAACTACCACAGCCTATTGATTAAGGAAGTTTTTTATTTTATTTTATTTTTTTATTTTCTCCCCCCACACCCCAGTGCCCCTGGGCACCAGGCTTGCTACCTGCCCCTCATCTCTCCAGAGGGGTGCTCCCCAAACAGAGCTGCTGGGTGGTGCCCCCTGCAGCTCTGTCCACCAATTGAGACTGCTGAGGGGCAGCCATAGAGGAGACAGTGCAGATCTTCAGCCAAGTCAAGTCGGGAAAGAGAGGTGAGCAGCAGGTGAGGAATGAGGGTGAGGAATGGGGGAATGTGAGCAGAAAACATGGAATGAGCATCTTACTGCACCATTAGGACTCCCATTTTCTGACACCAGGTAACACTGGGACAGAATGAGAAGAGGAACTTAGGAAGACCCTGAGCCAGGATTGTGCCGTGGGTTGGGGGGGCCCCTCAGCCAGGGCACCTCAAAGGGCAGTCTGAGGCCTGCGTCAAAGTAGTTTGGTGAGTTCCTTACGATGGAGATTCCAGAACCTGGCCTTTCAGGGGTGGGGTCAGAACTACATGTTAAGCCCCCCAGCAGCCTCTGAGGCCCTCAGGCTCTGCCATTAGCCCAGCCCCTCCTCCCACTCTGGTATACCCCCACACAAGACTGGAGCCCTGGGAGGTGGGAGGTACAACAGGGGCAAGGCCTTTTCCTCGCTGCCCTCCATTCCACCTCTCCTCCTTAAGCAAGCCAGTTTTCCAGATGTCTCTGGGTCAGCAACAGTGGGAAAAAGTGACCAGCTGGCAAGTGACCTATTTAAGGCATGATCACACCCTACCAGTGACCCAGCCTCTCCCTGGGAAATCCATTCCTGGCTGGGGATGGAGGAGGCAGACTTCCTGGGGATGAGGCCTGGGGTCAAGTCTTGAAGGAGTTAAAAGGGGAAGGGTCTGCTTGCACCATTCACACTGTCATCAGTCTGTATGATGAGCTTTCCCAGCAGGTGGTCTCCCTGATTTTATACTCAAGGATGCAGGAGCTGGGATTTGAGCCTGGGTCTCTCTAACCACAATCCATGGTCTGTCTAGGTCAGTGATGGCAAACCTTTTGAGCTCGGCATGTCAGCATTTTGAAAAACCCTAACTTTGGTGCTGTGTCACATATAGAAATTTCTTGATATTTTCAACCATAGTATAAAAAAGATTCATATTTTTGATATTTATTTTATATAATTAAATGCCATTT